GGTAAGGCATGGTGAGGCTGCCAGTTCGGACCACAAAGCGGCTGAAAAATATGTGCATGAATTCAAGGAGTACATAGAGGCTGAAGGACTGAAACCTGAACAAATGTTCAGTTGGATGAGAAACAGGCCTCTTTGTGGAAGAAAATGCCAAAGAAGACCTACATTACTCAGGAGGAAAAGGCACTGCCAGGACACAAGCCTATGAAAGACAGGCTGACGCTCATGTTCTGTGCTAATGCTAGTGGGATTTCAGAGTGAAGCTGTTACTAGTGTACCATTCTGAAAATTCCAGTGTGTTCAGGAAAAGCAATGTTATGAAGAGTAAATTGTGTGTTTTGGAAATCTAATAGTAAAGCATGGGTCACAAGGGAAATTTTCGTCGAGTGGTTCAATGAAGTGTTTGGCCCTAGTGTGAAGAATTACCTCCTGGAAAAGAAATTGGATCTCAAGTGCCTCCTGGTAATGGACAATACACCTGCTCATCCTCCAAACTTGGATGACCTAATTTTTGAGGAGTTTGGGTTCATCACAATAAAGTTCTTGCCCCCGAATGCCACTCCTCTCCTCCAGCCCATGGACCAGCAGGTCATTGCAAACTTTAAAAAACTCTACACCAAAGCAATGTTTCAAAGGTGCTTGAATGTGACCTCAGACACTCACTTGACCCTAAGAGGTTTTTGGAGAGAACACTTCAGCACCCTCCATTGCATAAGCCTTATAGGTAAGGCTTAGGAGGGAGTGACTACCAGGACTTTGAACTCTGCTTGGAGAAAATTTTGGCCAGATTGTGTTGACAAAGGGATTTTGAAGGGTTTGGGGCTGACCCTGATGACCTATGTCACTTATTAATCTATTGTGGCACTGGGAGTTCCATGGGGTTGGATGTGAGTTTTGGAGGATGTGAAGAGTTGGTGGAAGACCACAACGATGAGCTCACCACTGAGGAGCTGCAAGAGCTTCAGCAGGAAGAGCAACAGATTGCAGCTCAGAATCTTGCTGCAGAGGAGGAGGAAGAGAGATGGAAGAAGGTGCCTCTTCAGAAATTAAAGGAGATTTTTTGAGATGTGGGGTAAGATGGAAAGATTTATGGAGAAACATCACCCTGACAAGGCTGTTGTAAGCCATGTTGGAAACATGTCTTGGCCCATTTTAGGGAAGTGTAAAGAGACGCCAGAAACAGAGCTCTCTGGACAGTTTATTTTGCGAGACAGGGCTCAGTGACTTTCCAGCTGGTCCTAGTGGCATTAAAGAACAGAGAAGAGAAGTAACCCCAGAAAAGCAATTGGTACCTGAGGTGTTGAGGGAAAGGGGGATTCCCCTTCCAAACTGTAAATAATCCAATCTCCCCTCCCCCTCCCAGTCTCCCTTTACACTAAGAAGAATCTCCAATAAAGGAAAAGTGTTATGCTGTTAATGTTCATTCATCATGTCCCATTGTACTGTTTATGTACTACATCTATATTTTATGTAAAAATTTTTTTTGTTTTAGTACTTCTGGGTGTCAGGAATGGATTAATTTTTTTTACATTATTTCTTATGGGGAAAATTGATTCAAAATCATAGATTTCGATTATAAATAACACTTCTAGGAACGGGTTAATTACGATAAACGAGGACCACTGTAGAAAAATTTATATATATATATATATATAATATATAATATATATATATATATTATATATATATATATATATAATATATATATATATATAATATATATAATATATATTATATTTTTTTTTTTTTTTTTTTTTTTTTTTCAACAAGTCGGCCGTCTCCCACCAAGGCAGGGTGACCCAAAAAAGAAAGAAAATCCCCAAAAAGAAAATACTTTCATCATCATTCAACACTTTCACCACACTCGCACATTATCACTGTTTTTGCAGAGGTGCTCAGAATACAACAGTCTAGAAGCATACACATATAAAGATACACAACATATCCCTCCAAACTGCCAATATCCCATTTAAGGTTAAAATTCTAAACTTATTTTTTATTGACACATTGGCAATTTCCAACTGAGGCAGGGTGACCCAAAAAAGAAGAAACACTTTCATCATAATTCATTCTATCACTGTCTTGCCAGAGGCATGCCTACGCTACAGTTAAACAACAGCAACATATCAACACTCCTCCTTCAGAGTGCAGGCACTGTACTTCCCACTTCTAGGACTCAAGTCCAGCTAACCAGTTTCCCTGAATCCCTTGATAAATGTTACTTAGCTCACACTCCAACAGCACGTCAAGTCATAAAAGGCATTCATCTCCACTCCTATCTAACATGCTCATGCACACTTGCTGGAAGTCCAAGCCCTTTACAAAAAATTTCCTTTACCCCATCCCTCCAGTCTTTCCTAGGATGATCCCGACCCTGCCTTCCTTCCACTATAGATTTATATGCCCTCCAAGTCATTTTATTCGTTCCATCCTCTAACTGTCCGAACCACCTCATCAATTCTTCCTCAGAATAATATTTTTAGAAATACTGCACCTCCTTCTAATCTCCAAGCTATGGATTCTCTGCCTTATATTCACACCACACATTGCCCTCAGACATGACATCTCTGTCTCCAGCCTTCTTGTTGCAACATTCACCACCCATGCTTCACACTCATATAGGAGCATTGGTATAACTGTACTCTCATACATTCCCCTCTTTGTTTCCATGGATAACGTTCTTCATCTCCACAGACTCCTCAGTGCTCCACTTGCCTTTTTTCCCTCATCAGTTCTGTGATTCACCAAGTCTTTCATAGATGTTCATTCCCAAATATCTGAATACATTCACTTCCTCCATACTCTCTCCCTCCAATCTGATATCTAATCTTTCGTTACCTAAATTTTTATCATCATCATCACCTTGCTCTTTCCTACATTTACTTTTAATTATAAACTATTGTTAACAAACATCACCTAAAAATACAGTGGTACCTCGGGATACGAACTTAATTCGTTCCAGAAGGCTGTTTGAATGCTGATACTGAATGAATTTGTTCCCATAAGGAATAATGTAAATTAGATTAATCCATTTCAGACCCCCAAAAATACACTTACAAAAGCACTTGCATAAATACACTTACATAATTGTTTGCATTTTGAGCTGTTCGTATCCCGAGGTACCACTATCCCTCTGTAGTATATAATAATTATGTACGATTCCCAGGTGATTACTAAATTTAAAAAGAAAATCTTTTGTTTTTCTTTTTAGGTCACCCTACCTTAGTGAGATATGGCTGGTTCAGTGAAAAAAAATTGCCAGCTGATATATATACTGATTGTCCTTTGTTTTTTTAATTTGTTTTATTTTTTCTACATTTAATTTTTTTTCAACAACCTGGGCATATCCCACCAAGGCATCATGACCCAAAAAGAAAAACAAAAGTTTTCTTATAAAATTTAATTTATACAGGAGAAGGGGTTACCTGCCCCTTACTACCAGCATTTTAGTCACCTCTTACAACATATACATGGCTTACAGAGGAAGAATTTTTTCCACTTCCCCATGGAGATAAGAAATAAAGAAGAACAAGAACTATTTAAGAAAATAGAGGACAACCCAGATGGGCATGTAAATATGAGTGTACATGCATGTGTGTAGCATCACCTAGTAAAAGTAACAAGATACGTATACCTGTTATCCTGTGTGTTTAAGATGGTAAAAAGACACCAGCAATCCTTCTTTCAACAAACCAGCCATATCCCACCAAGGTAGGGTGACCCAAAATGAAAAATAAAAGTTTCCTTTTTCTTTCTTCTTTCAACGCACCAGCCGTATCCCACCGAGGCAGAATGGCCCAAAAAAGAAAAAGGACAGCTTCTCTTTATAAATTTAGTACATAATATATACAGGAGAAGGGGTTACTAGCCCCTTACTCCTGACATTTTAGTCTCCTCTTACGACATGCATGGGTTACGGAGGAGGATTCTTGTCCACTTCCCCATGGAGATAAGAAGAAATAAACAAGAACAATAACCAGTAAGAAAAGATAAGAAAACCCAGAGGGGTGTTTATATATATATATGCTTGTACATGCATGTGTAGTCTGACCTAAGTGTAAGTAGAAGTAGCAAGACGTTCCTGAAATCTTGCATGTTTATGAGACAGAAAAAAAGACACAAGCAATCCTACCATCATGTAAAACAATTACAGGTTTCCGTTTTAACGCTCACTTGTGCGGATGGTAGTGCTTCCCTGGGTGGTTGCTAATTACTTATTTGTGGTATCATATCTACTTGTAGTAGATGTCCCTTTATAAAATGTTCATTGGTTATTGACTACTTACTACCTCATCTTGTAATTTATTCCATTGTTCTGTTACTCTTGTGAGGAAGATAATTTTTTTTTATCCTTTCAGGAACTCTACTTATTATACAACTGTGGCATCTTGTTTGCCCTTTTGATGGCATTAGGAAATCTTTCTTATCTATTCTATTGAATCTTTGTATATGTAATCAATATGCTTCCTCTTTTCCTTCTTTCAGACAGAGATGAGATATTTAATGTTCTCAAGCCTTTCTTAGCAAGTAAATACATTTAGCTCTGGAGCCATTTTGCAGCTTGGCTTTGGACTTTCTAGCTTGTCCATCATTAATGCATATTCCAATTTTAATCTGATATGCATTTTGAATGAAATTTTTTGCTGTTACTCCATCCATATTTTTTTTTTCTTTCTTCAAGTCTGCCAGTGTAGCATATTGCTTCTTACAATTTCATTAATATGATCCTACAGTGACAATCCTTTGTCAGCTATGACTCCTAGGTCCCTCTCTCTGTGCCTGCCACTTGGAATATTTTATCAGATTTGTACAGTACATTATAGATTATATTTTATCAATGTGACAGCTACTTTAAAACTGTTTCCTTCATGTAAATTTGTCTTTCTATTTATTCTGAAGTGGTAAAGTCTGCATTGAACTGCCAGACTGTGATATGTGCTGATGTACTTGACTCTGACACTTCTTGCTATAGACACTATATCACCAAATTGTTTTTTGTCTAGATATCTCTACTGGAAAGAAAGTCTTATATAGAAGACAAAAATGGCAGCAGATACCTGAGAATGCTAGCTGTATCCACACGAACACTTCATCGAATTCTCTTGGTAAGTTTTTGCTGATGTTACGCTTTTTTATACAGGTACAACACTGATTTTCTGGCACCTCTTTTAGTCCAGACAAAATTACAAGAAGGCACTAAATATTAAACTTAAATAATTATTAACCGCTTCACTGTTGGAAGCCCCAAAATTAAAGCTGCAGTCAAGTGTTGGCATTTTTTATAAAAAAAATCTGGAATGGTAGAGAATCTATTTCTGAAGGTAATTACACCAAAAATATGAAATTTGATGAAAAACTTACATTTACGCAAGCTCAAAGTTGGCAGTCTGGATGCAATTTACTGGGCAATTTTGCCCAATTTGAGTCCTATTTTAAGCCAATTCCATTGCTCAATTCATCCAGATACTTAGCTATTTTGCTAGTATGCCTTCTGTTCTATTGATTGAGCACAAGACACTGCCCATTCCACAATCAGAACTAATTCTGTAAAGTGAACAAAATTAAAAAATTAGATTTAAAAGCTGAATCCGAAATAAACACTGTAGACACTCCAGGAACTAAAGCAATTATTAATCATGTCCTCAGGCCTCTCCTATATTACACTTACCCTCCATTTTGAATTCATCATCACAAAAATCACAGATTTACCCTATTTCTTGGAAAATAAAATATAACCAGGAATTCAAATTCAGATTTATTTATTTCTTTGCAAGTACTAGTACATTGAGATTATGTATTTACAGTAATAATTTGCAATGCAAAGAGAGCCTCTGTTATGCCTAGGCATTATGGGCTGACTTAATTTATTGGCTTACTGACTACTTAGCACTAAAGAAATTTATCATAGTTGTACAGTAGATCTATTAATTATAAGTGAATCTAATTTCTTTAAACCAAAGGATATATTCATATACAGTGGACCCCCGGTTAACGATATTTTTTCATTCCAGAAGTATGTTCAGGTGCCAGTACTGACCGAATTTGTTCCCATAAGGAATATTGTGAAGTAGATTAGTCCATTTCAGACCCCCAAACATACACGTACAAACGCACTTACATAAATACACTTACATAATTGGTCGCAATGGGAGGTGATCGTTAAGCGGGGTCCACTGTATTCAAAAATGCTTTATGTGAAACATGATTCAGTTTATATTTCTGTCGACAATGGACAATAGGTTCAAAAGTAAATACAGTGGACCCTCGGCATACAATGGCATCGGTATACGTTAAATCCGGTATATGATACATTTTAACACAAAAATTTTGCCTCGCCATTCATTAAAAAACCCGCCACATGCGATTCGTCCGGGACGCGTCCACATGTGGCCTGAACTGCCCCGTGCGTGCCAGTGTTTACATGCCAGCCAGTGTGCTCACATCTAAGCATACATTCGGTACATTCCATATTATCACAGTGTTTTTGGTGCTTGTATCTGCAAAATAAGTCACATGGGCCCCAAGAAAGCTTCTAGTGCCAACCCTGTGGTAAAAAGGGTGAGAATTAGTATGGAAATTACGAAAGATTTTGAAGGGTTTGGGGCTAACCCTGAGAAGCCTATGCCAGTTGTGGAATCCATTGTGCCTACTTCAAAAATTAAGGAAATGTGTGCAAAGTGGGTTGAACTGCAAACCTTTATGGATGGAAATCACCCTAACACAGCTATTGCAAGCTGTGCTGGTGATTATTACACTGACAATGTTGTGAAACACTTTAGGAATGTCATAAAGGAATGGGAGGTACAGGCCTCTATGGACAGATATGTTGTGCGACAGAGGTCCAGTGACTCTCAAGCTGGTCCTAGTGGCATTAAAAGAAGAAGGGAAGTAACCCCGGAAAAGGACTTGCTACCTTAAGTCCTAATGGAAGGGGATTCCCCTTCTGAACATTAACAACTTCGACACTCTCCCCCTCCTCCCATCCCATTAATCATCACCAGATCTTCATTAAAGGTATGTTGTTAGTAGAGTACGTACTGCTAACTGTGCATGTCTTCTTCAGTTTGTGTGCATTAAACTTAATATTTCATGTAGTAAAACTTTTTTTTTCACTGTACTTTTGGGTGTCTTGCACGGATTAATTTTATTTCCATTATTTCTTATGGGGAAAATTAATTTGCCTTCCCATAATTTTGGCATACAGTGAGCTCTCAGGAACGGATTAATATCATATACCGGGGGTCCACTGTATTGAAATTATATTATGGGAATATTGAATATTGAGCATTTAGTCTAGGGTGATTAAGTGGCTTTTGAGAAGAGTCTTAAATTGATTTTTCAGACCAGGTTACTTTAGTATTTTCTGGTAATGAATTGCATATTTTGGGGCCCTTTATGTGCATAGGCTTTTTACAGTGTGATACGGACACAGGGTACATCAAAAAGAGATCTGTGTCTTGTGTTATGGTCGTGTGTCCTGTTAAGGTTGGTGAGGAGAAGTTTGAGTGGAGGGTTTATGTTTGCATGTATTGTTCTATGTATGTAGTAGCACATGAATAAGTATGGATGTTCGTATTGGTGAGCAGATTTAAACTTTTGAAAATTGGGTGGAGTATGCTGTCAGGAGTGGGAATTTGTTTTAATTCTGACTGCAGCCTTTTGCTGGGTTATTAGTGGTCTTAGGTGATTTAATGTTGTTGATCCCCATGCACAAATTCCATATGTGAGATAAGGATATATGAGTGAATGGTATAGTGGCAGGAGAGCTGATTGTGGAACATAGTACCCTATCTCTGAGATTATGCCTACTGTCTTAGAGATTTTCTTGGTGATTTGTTGTATGTGTGTCTGGAACTTGAGGCTACTATCAAGGTGGATTCCTAGGAATTTTCCCTCTGCGAGTCTTGAGACGGGTCATCCGTTTAGTGTTATGTTAAGTGGAACATTTGCAGCTTTGTTTCCAATCTGAATGAAATAGGTTTTATAAATATTCAGAATAAGTTTATTAGTCATCATCCAGGCAGATATTTTCTGCAGTTCGGCATGGACAGTGTTGGCGAGTATGACTGGGTTTAGGTGGAAGAAGACGTATGTAGTGTCATCTGCAAATTATATGGGTTTGAGTAGCTGTGATGCATTCAGTAGGTCATTGATGTAGATGAGAAAGAGGTCCAAGGACACTTCCCTGTGGGTCTCCTACTGTGATTGGTTGAGTGGAAGAGTTTTGTACCATTTTTTTTTTTTTTTTCAACAAGTCGGCAGTCTCCCACCGAGGAAGGGTGACCCAAAAAGAAAGAAAATCCCCAGAAAGAAAATATTTTCATCATCATTCAACACTTTCACCTCGCTCACACATAATCACTGTTTTTGCAGAGGTGCTCAGAACACAACAGTATAGAAGCATACAGTGGTCCCTCGTTTTTTTGTAATTAATCCGTTCCTGGAGCCGTTACTATAAACGAAATTTACGATTTACGAATCAATTTTCCCCATAAGAAATAATGTAAATACAATTAATCCGTTCCTGACACCCAGAAGTATTAAAACAAAAAAATTTTTAACATGAAATATACATGTAGTACATAAACAATACAATGGGAAATGATGAATGAAACATTAACAGCATAACACTTACCTTTATTGGAGATTCTTCTTAGTGTATGGGAGACTGGAGGAGGAGAGAGAGTGGATTGTTTATGGTTTGGAAGGGGAATCCCCTTCCATCAACACCTCAGGTACCATTTGCTTTTCTGGGGTTGCTTCTCTTCTCTGTTTCTTAATGCCACTAGGACCACCTTGAGAGTCACTGGAGTCCTGTCTCACAAAATAACTGTGGAGAGAGCTCTGTTTCTGGCATCTCTTTAACACTTCCCTAAATGGCCCAAGACTTT